AAGAAGCGCTCCGCATGCTCAAAGTGAAACCTTGCTATGCTATGCCACCCCACCCCGGCGGTGGGCACGCACTTGGAAGAAAAGGTTGGCCGCCAGCAAGAGGTTGGTGAAGAGGGGACTGGGCGGGGGGGCCAGCCCCCCCCCCAAGCGGCACGGAGGCGCCGGCAGGCGTCCCGGCAGGAGGGTCAGCCGGTTGGAGGGAGGGTTGAGAAGTGGCCGGAGGCCACCAATCTACCAAGATTTGCTCCAGTTGGGACATCAAAGCGGTCTCCACTCCCTGAGACACGGAAGACAACTGGTTCACCACACCACCAAGCTCGAGCCATAGATCACGAAGGAGTCGAGTGGTAATTGCGAGCATCAACCGAATGAAGAGGCGCACCACAGTAGCGATGAGAGCGGCCACCACACGCGGAAATAAGAGCAACAGCAAAAGTGCCCACAGAGTCCTCCGATAACTAACCATCCATCTCAGGGAGCTTTGCCAGCCCATGCTGAAGCGAAGCCACCACACCCGCAACGAAGGCTGAGAACTCTGGTCAAAGGGCAAGGCCTCGACTATGGGCGGGGCTGCCGACTGTGCCAACCCATCAGCCGTGGCCCAGCCAGGGAAAATAGTATACAGAGATGTCAACAGGCGGGCGAAGGCCGCCGAGACCCGCCGTGAGCCACTGCCAGAACGCCATCTTGCAGCCTGCTGTCTAAACCCAGGGTCGTCTAAAGCTGCCAACTCTTCTGGGGTCAGTTCGTTTGAAGCGAGTTCCACTGCGCGCAACACTTGACCTCGCCGCGCCAAAACACCTCCAGCTGAGCTACCAGGGTCCTCTAACGAGGGGGGTGGAAGATCACCTCGATTTGCTTGCCTGCCCCTTTGCTGGCTATGCTTTGGAGATGAGCTTCGCTTCCGCTCTGTGCGCCGCCGCGGCGCTTGGACTTGAGAGCGTTCCCCCTGGCTAGAGTGGGACCTGCCCATCTGCAACAACTTTACCAAGCATGTGCTCCGACCCCCAACAAACTTTTGAGACTGAACTGAGGCGGGGTGTTGAGCATGTGGTCAAAATTGTGCAACATGGTCAACTTCTCCAAAGTGCTAGGTTTCAGCTGTGAGGTTATGTGTGTCGAAAAAGCTTCTTGGAGGTAGAACTGCAACGTACTTGCTGAAGACCACCGACCGTGAAATTGCAAAACGCTCAGGTTGCTGTGCACGCGAAAATGATGAGTGGCACCCCCAGCACGCATACTCCCCAGTGTGTATGAGCAAGCTTCCAACTCAAGAAACCGCAAACCCTCTTTGAAATGCTTGTCCCACAAGTAGCGTGTGCCAGGAAAAATCTTGCTAGTGTGCTTCTTGTCGGCCACCCACCAGCGCAACCACCTACACACTCGCGGCTCACTGCACAACACAAACTGTCTGTGCCAGATACGGCGCGTCTTAGGGGACCGCACCATCACCACTATCCCTGGGTCTCGCAACGCTTCACCGCCCTGGGGAAAAGAAAGGTCCGAAACACGTAGGTTGAGAATCTCAGATGGCCGCAGGAGGCACCAAAAAGCTAACCAAGAAGCCATTGCGCAGGTCCAGTATTGCCGGCGCATCCAACCCTCTTCTCGCCACCCCAACCACAGCCATGCTAACACGGCCCCTTCAAGCGACCATAGGGTTATAGGCACACGCGACCGCACTGGCCTCAAAGAGCGCCATCCTTGAACAGCTCGCCAAGCTCCCCGTAAACATGACCCTGAAAGATGTAGTGACCTTTGTACACCCAACAGCCCGAGAGTCACCCAATACAGCCGTTCTCCCTCGCAGCGAGCTGCTTCAACAGCCCTCTCTAGCCATCTATCTGCTTGCGGGGATGGAGTGGACCTCGAAAGAATGTGCCCCCCTCGACGAACCCTCCGCTCCAACGACGATGCTGCCTCAGCAAGATTTCGCCTGTAGGCTCTGGTCAAGCCAACATTCCTCAGGCGCACCATACCAAAACAACAGCGCGTTTGCAAACTGCTCGCAGAAGCCCCACGGATAAGCCCCGCCCAGCTTAGCCCGGTCACCCCTCAGCGGCGTGCCATGTTCATGTTGGCCATTGCATACACGAACTATGTGTTTTAACCAAGGCCCAGTGCTAAGAATCTTTGTGGGCTTTTTGTTTGGCTTGTTTGCGCGCTCACAATCTTCATACATGCACCAATGGAACTCATGCAATGAAGTACCCTGCAAGGAAACGAGTTGCTGTGTATCCTTTAGTTGCCAGGCTTTACTGCTGCGTGGATGCTCCAAAAAGAAGAAAACTCCATGCCTGTACGCAAGTTCAGCCAAATACAACGCGCGTCGCCACAAAAAGTTTCCCAGCGCTATGTCGGGGTTCCTCTCGTTCCCCAGAAGGTTGCCACGTGGCCGTAAGGGCCCTCCTCTGTCCAAATTTCTGAGTGCAGAGAACGTGGCACACGGAGGGGCTAACCATATCCAACCAATTTTCTTTTGACAAATTGCCTCTTCGATCCACGTAGCGCTGGCGTCTACAGGTTCGAACATGGACAAGCCTTGTTGCAAACAAGCTTGAGTCAGCCTTGCACTTTCCGTAAAAACTTCCAGCCCAGGCTTTGCCAAAAAATCGACGCCTAGCTTCCGCATCCAAAGAGGAGGGGGTTTTTGCCAAGGAAGTTCACGAAAACGGGAAGGGTGATCAGCTGGGTTGCTGTCCGTCTCCACCCAAAGGAAGCCCAGAACCATGCGTGACAAAATGAGGTACGGCAACGTCGATCGAAGAAGCCCGTTCAACCGAAAAGAAGAGGACCTACCTTTTGTAAAGGCGCCCACCACCACTCTGCTATCGTTCAAAAAGAAATGCACCCGATCACGGGAAAGAGGAGCGCTGGCCAGCCGCACCACTTCTCGCTTCACTGCCCGTGCTTCTTGTAGGTTGATGTGAGCTGTGTGCCTAAAGTGATAGCTTGAAGCAATCCTCCACTGCAGACTTTCTCCTACTTGGCTAGCAAAGCGGGAAGGTTCACGCGGTTCTCTTCCCATGACCCAATCAAATTCAGAAGCATCGCGGTCTAGGCGGACGGCTTCGCCCCTAACCTCTGTGTGCTTCCACAACTTCTGAGCAAGGGCCTTTGGCAGGCAAGCTTTTGTTGCTCCTCCTGAACTGGGCGTTGCATCCGTTGCTATGATCTCTTCCGCAAAAGAACGTCTCATATTCCAGCAACAAAATGGAAGGTGTAGCATCATTCCCCGCAGTTCATCTAATACAAAACCAGGAAACCTATACACCTTGTCGTCGGTCAGACTATCCAAGTACTTGTATACATGGTGTTGTAATGAAAAACATTCCCGTCGAAACTGGAAGCAAAAAGCAGCGTACCCCAGCAACCGTTGCAACAAGTTCTTAGTGCCCTTGCCCATCACTACCACCCGGCTAAAGAGATGCCACACTTGCCGACGGACCGCTATTGGCACGCCGGCTGTGCCTTTCACACCATCTATCTCTGCTCCCCATGCTTTGAAGTTCAGCTCAGCTCGAAAAGACTTATGCAAAGCTCGCTCCAAGCCGGCGTGCTCATAAGCTAACTCTGCTGCTCTCACTTGCCGCATGTCCGGATCCGAAGGTCGCGGCTCTGGAGGTTCAAAAGAGCCATCCACTTCCACATCTCTTCCTGCTTTTACGCGACCAATCACTAGTAGGTCATCCAGGTAGGCCCCTTCCAGCGTGGGTCCATCAGGAAGGTGGCGTCCATAGACCATTTTTGACTGGGGGGAAAGGAGACCATGCTGCTCCAACACGTATTCGTGAACTGCTTGCGCAATATCGCAGGCATTTGAATCTCCCATACCCAAGACTCGCATAGCTGCTCGATGCGGAACAGAGGGGTCTTTTCCCAGGGAAGCGACCAATTTGGGGTCAACCCTACGACCTACAGCATTGAACTTATAGGCATTCTGTGGGAGAGCCAAAGAAAAATAGTACGTTCTCAAGTCATCTCCCGAGCCACGAAGGAACTCGTCAGGCTCCAGAAGCAGCTTTGCCAGGCAGGCTCCGGCCGGGAGATGAGCCCAATCCAAGCGCTGCATCATAGCATTGGCTGGCCGCCTATCAAAGATCAACCGGTCTTCGACATTGTTCTTTCGAACGCAGAAAAAGCCACCAACCAACAATCTACCATCTGCAGTGCGCTCTAGCTCGTCCTCCGACACCAGGGTGATCATTTGCGCAGCTAACAAGCGCTGGATCAACTTCTTTTCCTCCTTCTCAGACACCTGGTGACAGGGACGCGCAGGCCCTCCTCCCAAAGGTTCTGCCAAACAAAGCTGCCCCAAGTCTTCTACCACACTTCTCCTTTCTGGTGGCAACCAGGCCAGCGGGTCAACTGATCCGGCCTTCGCTGGGATTGCCACACGTTCAGACACCACCGGAATGGCGACATTCAGCTTCCGGGCAAGTCTCCCGGATTCTTCGCCTGCACCTGAACATGCATCCATCTTCTGCAAGCTCGTCAAAGCCTCATCCACAACGGAACGGCTACCATCAAAGCTCACCGATTCTGTACAAAAACCTACATCGATGAATTCGACCACCTCGCCAAGCAAGCTCATGCAAAGTGTGTGCACTTCAGCAGACTTTACAAAGCCTCCTCGCGGCTCTCTAGTCTTCCCCCGACAATCAGGGCAACCCAGGACGATGTAGTTAGACCATGCTACCCAAAAATTCAAGTAAGCTTTGGCCCAATGCAACCGTCTCGCTTCGCCAGCGATTGCCTCCCCACTGACTTTGAAAGCCTCGGGGAACGGCAAGGAGCAAGGGAAAAGTGGTGCTTGTTCAACATAGCCAGTCAGAACCGGCTCGCTACTGTGGACACTCTTCTGCCAGTCAAAGAACTTCAAAAACTTTGAATTCCTCCCCCGTTCCCAGGGAAAACGCATGCACTTTGTAGGGCTCACTCTTGGTCTTCCTTCGTCTCGGCGCTCTGGTGCGCCTCTTTGACATGCTTCCTGACCTTGGATAATGCTCGGACATAGCCGCTGACGATCGACATCTCTTCCCGCGTTCCCGCCCATTCGCGGCGAAGCAGCGGGTCTTGCAGGCCTGTCAGCAACCATGCTGTGGACCAATCTCCTCCGGCCAAGCAGCACTGGATCTTGGCTTTGATGTTCTGAGTCAACTGGGCAGCTGCCGCTGCTTCGTCGCCGCCTCTCAAGAACTCGTACACAGCCACGTCCATCATAGTCGCCCGGTACAGCCCCTTGAACTTGCCGAAGTTCTGCTTCCGAACCCACTCTTTTACACTCCAAGCTTGTCCTGGGACTACCCCAAGCTCTTCCACGATTGTCTTTTCGAATTCCCGAATCAATCGTTTCGGGTGACGGGTAATCCGCCGATGCATGTGGTTCAAGGCGTCGACTGCCTTCAACCCACCGGCCTCTTCGTCCTCCGTCTCGCTTGAGGTGTCGGAGCCGGAACCACCAAGGGACCTGCCCTTCTTTCTGCTTCGCTTCTTCTTTTCCTCGGCCGCCTTGTCTTGCTTCATCATGTAGGCCATCATCATCATGGGAAGGAGCTGAGTGGCGTCCGCGCCGGAAGCGACTGCTTGCCCCATCACTTCTTCGAGACCGGGCGGATTGTCTCGCTTCGACTTGCTGCTGGACGCAGCTGAGTCCTTCTTCGAAGGCTTCTTTAACGCACTCGCACCTGGAGCCAAGTGCTTGCGAGAACGGGGGGGAAGCTCTTCTTCTGTCTCTTCTTCGCTGCTTTCGTCTTCGCTGCTGCCCCCCCCCGACTTTCCCCACAGGTCCTGCTGCATTCGCTGCAGCTCCTCCGCTAAACCAGACGGCTGACTTTTGCGACCACCAGCCGCCGCCATTGAGGTTTTCACTTTTTTGGGTTGCATAGCCGGGGACTGCACCTCGGCTTCGCTGCTTTCCAGTGCCATTTCTTTCGACACCTTGTCCCATAGTGGGAGAGCTTCGTCTAACTCTGGAGCAGAGCCTCCGACGACTGACCCCCACCCAGGTGGAGTTTTTGTGCTGGCAGCAGAGAGTGGAACTTTCAAAAAAGTGAGACGCTTGCCTTCCTCGCCGGCCTCTATCTTTTGGTCGAGGTGACGGCCAATTGAGCTCTGACAGGCCAAGACGACCACTCCTAAGTCTCCATCCACCTCCACCGCACGGCCGCGGACTCTCACAAGTCCCTGGTTTCCTCGGCAGCTAACGAACACTACGTCACCACCCACCACCATGGCGCCTAGCCCTGACAACTTGAGCCCCGTTCATGAAGGGCATCGAAATCTGATCGACTTCACGTTCGTTGTTGAATTATTGGTGCAATGCCAACAAGCAAAATGAAGGCACCGATCCCCAGGACTGTCCAAGAAATTCTTTGGAAGTCTTGTTGATCCGTTTTCGCAACATGAGGCAGGTATGACACCTGCCAGTAGTAGAAAAGTAAGAGGTCAACGGTATCCCATGCAAAGTGGATAGGCAGGCTCTGCACCCATGGCATACAGTAACACAAATATGGAAGGGCTTCACAGCCCACAATGGATCGAGACAATCGGCTTCTCGAGTTTGAGCCGCATCTCAGATCAGTCGATCGGGTTTAATCAATAAGGTTGCTTCTGTCTTTCAGATTGGGAGAACAGTGCCCCCTTCCCTATCTTCCCTATGCCTAACAACAGAACCATGGTACCCGTCGTCCTGACATTTCCCGGCCAGACTCTGAGTACCAGACTGTCCTCAGGCCGCCACCCTGAGACATCGGTGCGGACGGCGGACGGCGCACGCGGGGTGCGGCACCCTGCATCACTTGTTTCTACTAGCTTCTTGTCACTACTAGTAAGGCACTTGTTACTAGTAGCGATGCACTTGTTCCTAGTAGCTTATTGTTAGTCATATGATGTCCATCTGAAAAGCTGATGTGGACTGTACAGCTGTAAGACTTTGGCATCACAAGCTGTTCAGATGAAGTGTCTACCAGGCTAAGACGACAGAAGATGACTGAGACAACACGACAGAAGGTTGACATACGTTCAGCATCTTTCAGCCGGATGCAAGACCCCAAAAATGTTGGTTCTGCGTTTTGCACGTTGATGTTCCATCCAGCGAACGATCGACGATCGAGCATCACAACTGCATGTCTTGGCCAACTGCTTCCTCGCATCATGCGAAAAGGGCGGTGTCTTGCTCTATGTCTTGGGTCAAGTCGGACCACTGGTCTTCAGTCCATTGGACGTCTTGGTTTTTGTTGGAGTTGGTGCCAACCTATCTTGTTCGGGCCCAATGGATGATGGTTAGGTTGCAGGTCTTTCTCAAAAAGACTTGCGACTCTTCCAAGTGTCCCAAACTGAGAATCATTTCACTGGGAATCCTTTCACCTGTAGTAACAAAAATATATGTGTTCTTTCTTTGTTTAAGGATACTTTGGGCCTTCTTTGGACCTTTCTCTTTGAGTAGCTAGATGTTAAGTTTCTCTAAAAATCTAGGAACCAAATCATTAGTGCGAGCGCTATCCTGCATCCTAAGCAGTAGCTACTTGTAGCTACTAGCTACGGTTATAAACATCTTTCATTGGAGAGAGCCTGTTTTCAAAATTTAACAAAAAAAATAACAATAATAATAACAATAAACAAAAAAATATCAAAAAAGGTCAATCCCAAAAGACAAAGTAAAAAAGAAATCAAATCAGAAAGTTTCAGAAAGCAAAAAAAAAAAACATTTTGCCCGGATCTGTCTTTGTTGACTTTTATTGACTGTTTTCGACCGTTTGTTTTTTCAATTGTTGACTGTTTGGCTTTTTTGCTTGTTTTCGACTTTTTGATTTTTCGAGTGGTTGACTTTTTGTTGACGTTTTTTTACATTGTTTGTTTGACTGTGTTGTTCGACTTGTTTGACTTTTTTGACTTTTTTTGACTTTTTCGAGCTGTGGTCTATGTTTGAATGGTTTTGACGTGTTTGACGTGTTTGACTTTTTTTTATTCAAGGATTCTGGCCTTACCATATGAAAGATTTGTATAAAGCTACGGCCTACCCCTACCCCCCCCCCCCGGCGCGGGGAGGAGCGGGCTACAAAAAAAAGAAAAAGCCCTTTTGTTACACAGGTCATGCGTCGTCTTCATCTCCTCACGTCACGCGTTCTTCTGCGCAGCATGAGCACCAACAAAGGCTGTTGCTCTGTGACTTGGGAACATTCTTCATGCTTGGCCTTTCTTTGCATCCTTAAGCTGCATAGCCTGCATAGCCTGCATAGCCTGCATGCTCTGTCACAAAGAGACCTCTGTACATGTTGGAACCTATTTTGGGTCTGTAAGATGACGCCAGGTACCCCAAGGAAATCGTATTAGGCGAACTTGAGTCCGTCCATTGAAGGGGAGGGTCAGGCTTGGCAAACTGACCCAAATTCTGTGCGAAACCTGCACCCCGAAAGAAAAGGCAAATCCTGCCCTTCGTTCAGGAGCAAGTCCGTCAGCATACGAGAAATCAGAGAAGCGGCATGCGCAAAAACGAAAATCAAAGCATCAATCCATCAGAAGGACTGCTCAACATGGCCCTGGCTTTGCGCCAAGGCCGATACTCTTCTACATTCTTGTAGGTTGCCTTTCAGGGAAAACTACGATCGAAAACCTGCTCACTCGGCAAATGTCTCAAAAAGACTCGAAAACCTCTTTCGCATCCCTTCGTGGGAGTTTCGAGCCCTAGTTGGGGATAAACAAAAATAAAAATAAAAAAACTCCACGCCTTCCACTGCCTGGGCCAAGAAGTCAGGCACTGCCTGCTCGCGGATGAAGTCCGCAGCGCAGCAACTCCGAGCATTGGGGAGGTCCAACCTCGGAAGGAAACCAGGGCGATCTTTCGTCTTGCTGATTCCACTTCCATTCAGAGAACCAAAGGGACTAGCTGTTGCAGGGTCTTCCTGATGAGGAAGTGACGAGGAGTGGTCATTGATGTCTAGGCGTCAGGTGATAGAGAACATGCCCTGCAGCCTACTCCCTCAAAGATGTAACTAAGTAGTACCTAGAACAAAATTCCCCTAACTCGGACCAATGAGCGATATCACACACCACATACATCTTCCACCAAGCGACCGCGCACCCGCAGCAATCAGCGTCGCAGCACCCTCGTACTGGGACTCGATCATGGCCATCACCAAAGGCGTGGCGCCAGTCCTGACAACGTGGGACCAACGTGGGACCAACATTTAGACATTGGAATGAGCAAATGTCGTGAGTTGCACCATACGTTGTGGATTCCATTGCATATTATTTGTTCATTGGTCATATATAAATACTGAAGGTTTGCAGACGTGAAACAAAATAGAAGGAAGACACAGCGACCTGCACAGACTATGCTGCTTGCGGGTGTGAGGACTAGCAGCTGACTGACTGGCGGCCACGGAACTGAATCGACACAGGTATCTCTTTACAAGCTTGAGCAAGAAGCTACTAGGGGCTCCTGGCCTTACTACTAGGAGCAAGGACGCTACTAGGAGCAAAGGGCATCGCTACGAACGGAGCGATCGGACGCTACGAACGGGGCTCCTGGCATCGACACTAGGAACAAGGACGCTCCTAGTAACAATTTCTCAGGTTGTTTGCAAAGGCCCAAAGCAGATCTAACTTCGGCCTCTTGAACCCACCCAGGCCTGAAAGCACCTGAATGGACTACCAGTCAGTTCACACCAAAAAGGAGGCTCGTATACAACATCTTATGAAGTACAAATTACTTCCTAGTAATCGTCACCAGGATCTCCGCTTCCATCCCATCCGACCAAGCGTCATGTGATAAAACTGCCGTGTGGCCTTGCTCCGCCGCCCGAAGCAGTGCTGCAAGGCTTTGGACAACGCCAGGGCCCCGTAGAGCGAGGAATGCATCCAGGGATCCCGTGACTGATTCACATCCTGCGCTCGGTCGGGAACACCAGAGGAGAAGCAGGCGAAGCAGGCGGTTTTTGACGTGTTTCACAGCTGCGGGGCCCTTGATCTTCTCTTTGTCCTTGGAGGGGTGATGTGTTCAAATGAAAACCAAAGGAAACATGTTTTTCCAAAATCTCCCAAACACATGCAGGGTGGCCAGGATGACCAGGGTGGCCGGGGGACATCGACTGGTGCCAAGGCACCGCTCTTCTGTCCAGCAGCCACTCGACGATGCCTGCTGTACCTCCTTCAGCTTTGAGAGCTAAAGCGCACCAGAGGGCACCAGATAAGTCCATGTTCTCTCCTGCTTGCCTCACCGGGTGGTGGAGACAGTTGAGCTTCTTTTTCTTCAATGATGCATGATGAGCCTTTCAAAGTAAACCAATTCCGAGTCGCAATTGAAGCTGACTCTTAGGCTGGGGAAACTTGAATGTGCTCCCAGCTACACCCTGACAGTAGCTGTCATAGAAATTCAAATCTCTAGCCCGGCCTCCAACCTACTAGCAATGACCTCCAACCATCCTATCAACCGGCTTTGCTTCAAAAAAAGGCCGCCGAAAAAAGAAAGGCGCCTCGCAATCTCCAGCATCGCCGCCATGGCGCCCCGGCAGCAGGCGATTTCCAGGGCCGTGAAGCCCATGATGCTGCGCGAGTGCACCGAGCTGCCCGCCTATGCGCCGAGACCGCACGACGCCCCTAGGCCTAGGCTCTCTCTGCGTGTTGAGAAAACGAAAAAACGTGGAGTTGGAGATGAAGACTTTGGTCATGCTGTCTGGTCTATTACGAGTCAGTACTGAAGCTTCAAAAACAGATCATTGCATATCACAGCACAGTTCTGATTGTGATTGATGCTTGGTTGTCTAAAGATGGCGTGATGGATGGACTCTTTCTAACTTGGAGGCTTTGTTCTTGTGTGCTCTTTTTGAGTCATTTTCTTCCCAACCCACCCAGGATGTGGTCACCACATCGATTCCACAGCCGAAGGCCCTGAGAAACGTCCTGCCTCACACAACAAGCGGACACCCTCGGGGTTGTCGCCGACCGAGGCGAACTCCAAGGGTTTCAGCAAGCCGCCCTGAGAAGCGCTGAAGACACCGGAGTGAAGTGCTTGACCAATCGCTGAAGAGGTTGGAGGCCGCTATCAGGTTTGACCAATCTTGCCTTTGTTGAAGGTTCGTCATGCTTCATCATGGTTCGTTATGGTTCGTCCACGTCGGCTTCTTAGCCGGCTTGGTCCTCTGAAGTTTGGGCAGAACTGGGTCACATCCTTCTGCAGATTGCGACGCAAGGCACATGGGGATGCCTCCCACACTACGATCACCCATCTTGTCCCGATCTGTTTGGAGACCAAGCGGAGACCGACCTCGCAAGATCCTGGAATTGTCCCACACCTTCCCAGAGAGTTCGCTAGTTGGATCCGGCAGGTGATCTATCAAAAACAAGGTGGTACATTCCGTCAAGCAATGCTCCTCCCTGCCCTCCCAACAATCAAGACTCATCGCGGCATCGTGGGAATAAGAACTAAACATGATTCTGAGGTGCGCACAAGCTCTTTTTTGGGGCCCGCTCCTACTTACAGTAATGAAGTAGGCGCCTACTCAATTAAGAAAGCGAGCAAGCTACTTAAGCTACTGCACCCAAGGAGGGCGGGGGGAGCTTCCTTGAAGAAGCGCTCGCGCTGATGATGTGCCTCCCAGATGCTTGGGGAAATTTATATAACTCACGGTCATGTATCAAGGTAATGCTTAAACGCGCCCTCACAACCAAAAATGGACAAAGCAGCGCTTGGCTTTTAACACAGCAGGTCCCAAGCCCTTTATGGCAAAGACACTCACCTCCAAACAAGTCTCTTGCAGCACTGGTACTCATGAGTATCCAAAGTCTGCGCAGTCGTATTTGAGGAATCTAAGGGCCCAAATAATTTCCTTCCACTCCGGCTGGCCCACAGTGCTGCAACGAAAAGAAAGCGCCAAGGCACATCGATCTTTGCACGGGCAGCTATGAGCTGCCTGGCGGCCTGGTTGTGTTTGAAGCAGACCTGGGAGTTCGTACTAACAGCTCGAAGAGCTTGCGGCCCTTAACGGAACACATACAAAATGGAGAAACGTCAATACGGATGTGTGTACAGAGCATAGCTTAGAGAATTCAAAGAAACAACTCCCTTTGATCCCTCGAGGAATGTTGTTTGCCAAAAGAATCTGCCTGGCCCTGCATTTGGCCTTGAAGCAGTCCAAAAGGGAAGAAACAAAGTCGCTACAGAAACTCTATTTAAGAGGTGCGTGACATGGTGACAAACCAATCATGGGCACCTGTGAACTCTGCTGGGAAAACATGAAACGACTTTTTACAAACGGTTCTTCAGTACATCAACATCGGACAGCACATGACTTCCATTGATCAACATCAACTCTGCCAGGCAGACGCAAATGGTGAGCGGTGAGGTCATCGGGGGCAATCCCACGCGCGGCTGATCCTGTTTGGTCAAACGATTGGGATCAGCTCTGAGCGACAGCAATCCTGGCATCGGTCGGATCTGAGTGAAGACGACGTCCGACCCGGGATCACGTCGGCCACATCGACGACTTCGGATCCAGGTGGACTGCGACTTGCTGATGCTAGGTGAAACATCAAAAAAGAAGGAAAACATAGACATCGATGTGGGAAACTCACATCCCCCAGCGCCCTCAACACGTCTTCAGCTTGGACTTTCATACCATGTTCAGTTCACGCACAGTTCACATCACCCCTTCCTGCCGAAAGCGATGGAGAATCGCCATGAAAACCACCAGCCCTGCCCTCTCCCGACCTCTCCCGACCTCTCGCCTTGGATCAAGGCAGGAGACCCCCGCAGCGAGGCATAGTGCAGGGGCGACCAGCCCGCCGAGTCCGTCTCGTGGACGCTGCGGAAACCGTTTTGGTAGAGGAACCTGGCCGGAAAAGAAGGGAAAAGGAATGGAACACCATTCTTTTTGGTTTTTCAGGCCCAAATTGCCATGAATTGCCGATTCTTGTGCTTTTCAATCGTTGATCCAGACTCGGAGACTCGGAGACCAGTGAGAACCACTGATGATGAAAAGAAAGGCCAAGAAAACCTCGCTTCTGGGAGCAAGGACGCTAGTATAAAGGGCATCGCTACTAGGAGCAAGGATGCTAGTAGGGGCTCCTGGCCTCGTTACTAGGAGCAAGAACGCTATTCGGTAAGTGCTTTTCCAACTCCACCCACCGTGCCTCGCCACCAGCAGCGGTCGAGCGCCACCCGCGCCTCCCGACTGCAGGCCCTCGGAGCTGTCCAGAAAGCTGTGGAACCGGTCACTGCGCGGAAGCGGTTGCGCCTGGAAGCCCGGGATCGGTTCGAAGGGTCGTGCCTCTGGAAAACCGCGGAAGTGAACCGATTGCAAGTTCAACAAGAGCCGGTAGTTCACCAAGTCCTGGGCCGATTCACGGTCCGATGTCGGGCCCCCGGATCGAGTGTCTTTAAGACGGAACTGACATGAAACAAGCAAGTCCAATCCAGTCGAGTCCTGTGCTTCCAGCAAGAGCAGCAGCTTTCGCTTCAAAGCTTCCACCAACAATGGCCGCAGCTTCACCCGGTCGCCAGCCACACTGAAGTCGCCTTCGCCAGGTGGACGCCCGCCCAGGCAGCCCACTGGGCTAACGGCAGGGATCACCACTAATTCCAAGTCGATGGCGCTCCTCCGCGTTTTTGGGGGCTTAGTCATACCCTGTCTGGTTGGCAGACCCTTTTTTGTGTTACAAAAATTCCGCTGGTTTTGGATCGTTACCCGTGTTCTCTTCGAGATCAAACTGGGAAAACTCCCCTGGACCTCAGGGACGCCTGGTTGGTCATGGATTTGACCATGGTTTTCTCTTGCCTGCCACGTCCCACATGAGGCGTGGCAAGAAGACCACCAGTTCCTGTACACTGTACACGACAAAGACTTTTTTTTGGCGGTTCAGCGGGTCATACAACATATCGAGAAGTCTTTCTGCATGTTTGCAGCGGTCGTCAGCGGTCATCGTTCGCTGTGGACCATTTGACACGAAGGTGAGATCGATGGCCTTCTTCATGGCATGTCTTTTTTGGCGGGCTCGATCCATCCCTTAAATGTCCGTTCTAATAGGTCGTGGCCGGGTGGTTTGCAACTACTAACTTTTCACTGGGACGGCTGTGGGTTGCACTGTGCAAAGATTGCTCCACAGCCTAGGAAACTTGCCCACGACAAGAGCGTGAACATGGACACCAGTAGCAGGTGCATCGCTATTAGTAGCAAGAAGCTACTAGTAACAAGAAGCTATTAGGTTGGAGTGGCTGCGAAAATCTGAGTTTGCCTCGCAGGCAGGGGCGCTGCCATCGCCATGAGGCCAGGCTTGTTTTTGGGAATATAGGGCTGGCAGCAAGTCACTCAAGAAACCGTCGAAACCAAACAGGTCCCGCAAGGCGGCTTCCTACGGGCAAAACCGCAGGTTAAACTCGTGTTGTGGACACTCAGCACGCCAAACCCAATGCCATTTTGCTCCCTTGCTTCGTTGGAAGACTGTGACACCATGCGATCCATGACCCGGTCCCGACGACTCGTTCCTTTCGCCCCACCAAGGGCTGCCACTCACTTCGGATCCATACCTTCCCATCATTTTGCTTTCAAACTCCGGATTCCCATCTCCGTCCTGATCATGATCCATGACTCATTTGGGCAGAGCTCACGCACCGCGCGTTCCACGCGGCACCATCCGCGTTCCGCCCAGGTCGCCGGTGTCAATAAACGGCACCCAGTGGGATCCTCGAGGACGGGGCAAAGCGCAAAGAAGAAGGAACCTGGGCCAAGCGGCGCTCCGCAGATCTCCGCTCCGCATGGTTCCTTCTGTGGTTTTCTTGGCGCAGCCGGAGTTTGCGTTTTGGACGGATTCCGCTCGACCTTTTTTTTTCGAGAGAAAGTGGTTGGTTGGTAATTCGACCAAGAGATACATCACTCAGCTGAGGAGGAGAGCGTGCCAAAGGGAGTGGAAGGGAACCAATGGAGCTCACGACTCACGACAAAACAAGCTTGTGCTTGACTCATGTAGGGAGAGCAGCAACGGTAATGTTTGTATTGTCAAGTAACCCGGAATACAAGTAAAATTATACCAGCATAGACCCCAAACAGCTTCAAGACGATTCGTTTAGACCAATATTAGTTAAAAAATGATTTCTTGGTACGCCTTAATTACCTTCACCCCAAGAGCAAACTGCTTCATCAATGAAGTTTTGTCGGCATTGACATCGCTATTTGTTCGGCCAGACTCCTCTCCAGTAAACCGGGCCACAGAGACCAGCCACAGAGTTCAGGGACGCGGCCAAGACAAGGACAAGAGAAGGACAAGACCCGGACACAGAGCCAGGCCACAGAGGAGGACAAGACCTGGACACAGAGCCCAGCCACAGAGTTCAGGGGCGCGGCCAGTGAGTGTGGCCAGCTCTTCTTTTCTAAGATAGAACCCCAACAGTAAACTGTTTGGGGAAAAAACACAACAACGTCCCTTGTCCAATCGGAACAGTTTTCTTTTTGTGGGGTTTGAAGTTTGGAGCTGATCACAAAACAGGTGTGTCTGTTCAGCTCCCACGTAGTGGGATGGAAATTGAAACAAATCCACAGCTTTGCTGGTTTCTTTACAAATATGTGGTCCTCCATCACCTGAAAGAAAATATGTTGACCTTTAGCCTTTAACCATATACCACCCCCGGGTTCATCCGAACGAACAAAAAGAGCACTGACCAGTGACCCCGCAAACCCCTGCGCCCGGCCCTGCACGGTCTTGGCTCCGCCCCTGGGCTCTCTTCAAGGAACATCTCCCGACGTAGGCGGGAATGGAATCGATGGCCTTCGACAGGTTGCTCTCACCCGTGTTCGAGCACGTGGTCGCGGGCATCGCCGCGCGGTTGGTGCGTTCCAGCTGAGGGCAAGAGAAGTAGTCCTGAAAAACTGGCGATCTTCGGGTGTACTTGCTGAACCCTCCCACTTTCGGGAGGATTCACTTTTCTATTTTAGGGGGAATTGACCTCCATTCATGGTCACAGAAAAAGGAAGAAAACAACAAGACAAAAACATATTCTTCTCCGCAGTGAGTCATACCAAAGAAACAACTCTCGGGACCACAACTCTGAGGTTGGAAGACTCTTGGTGCCTCGTCCAATCGAGAAAACCGAAGGGCCGCAGGGCCGAAGGGCCGAAGGGGGAAGCAACACGACGAATCCGAGGATCTGGCCATCCAAGCCGTTGGAGTGACGAACAAAGTTGTAAAGAGATTTCTGGGTCGGAACTTCCACACTGCCAAGTCTGCCTGCGGGGTTGTGAACATTGTATTGAGCGTTTCAGAGGATCAAGATGCATCCATCTCCGATCTTAGAAGAATGACACGCCCAGCGCCACATGAGAGGCGCAGAAAGCCTACGTGATTGGATTCTCTCTATTTGAGGGTGTAGCAAGGCCTTCATAAGCCTTCCTCTCCATCTACCTGCTACCCGCTACCCATTGGACGCGAACATCAAATTGTCCTCTGTTCGGGCGTTTGGAACCAATTTTCAGACACCTTGCAAGCACCAATTCTCGAAAATTCTATTCAAAAAGACTACGCAAGTTCATTTTGAACATCACTCCTTTCACCACATTGAGGACCACCGCCCTACTCACTACTGACCCTGCAAAATCCAGCAAAACTTCTTTCTCAAATTCCTTAAGCGCCAGCTTCTAGCGATAGATCCCCAAACATTTACCTTGTAGAAAACAAACCACGGACGCAACTCAACCTAAGACAAGGACGCTACTAGGGGCCCCTGGCATGGCTACTAGGAACAAGAAGCTACTAGGCGCTCCTGGCCGTACTACTACGAGCAAGTAGCTACTAGTAACAAGAACGCTACTAGGGGCGGGTTCAAGGCACCCACCCCGGGTCATCCCCACCGAAATTCGCTGGGGTACTTGGCATCACGGTCGCTGTGACCACATCCAGTGAGATCTCCCGCATCGTCCGGGACATGGCATTCCTCAAGGCATCTTGCAAGACGCTCAGCTGTTTGAACTGCGGATCCTCAGCTCCGTCTCAGACCTTCCGGTTCCCGAACAGAAAAAGAGCCCGAAACAACACAACAAGACGTGGTCATCGTGAGAGACGTACGTGTTAACACATCTTATTCTCCCAAGAAATCCACAAGTCCAGTAGGAAAAGCACAAAAAAAAGGAGTCCGAACTCAGTTGTGACTTTGGAGAAACACACACCTGAATTCATCAGAAAGCTTTACACAAAAACATCCCAACGCATTCTAAATGGCCAAAGATCTGGATGTGAACGATCCACCCACTGGTGCGACACGAAAGCTGCGTTTCCCATGCTCTCCTCGTACTCCAGCAGTTTTCCTTCAGTCTTGAGGTTCTCGTGTGGCACAACTTGCGTCATGTCCAGAAGCACGTCCAAGGGGACCTCATGTCGGCTGAGCCAGGCATGTGAACAAAGAGAGACGCAGCTGTGGATGGAGACCCAAAAAATCAAATAAAAAACAGTGTGCTGATTTTCCATCTCCGGTGGACTCCAAACATTAAATGACACTCCTAAGACATTTGAGGTGGCCAAAGGCAGCCAAGGGCACAACGTACATGGGAAACAACTCCAATGGATCAGCCTCAATCGCAGCCTCTTGCACTTCCAAACTCTTGGCATACTGCTCCAACGGCGTATGCCGCACTGCTCGCCGTTTCGCGCAGCAAGGCATTGGACACTGGCGCCCCGGGAGCTCGAGCCCTCATGTGGCACCGTCACATCAGCGTCCACGGCCGCGGAACCGGCCGCGAAAAGTTCGCAAAACAGTCCTTGACGTTGGCCGATCTGAAATGATATTCGATCGATTCCCGTCGCGTGATCGAAAAACTGCCCAAAACCCGAGGTCCGGACACGGAAGGTTGGTATGATTGAGGAAACCCTGCACTTAGTCACAGTCCATTTGTTCTTGCATGTCTCGCCGAGTGGTGAGACACAGCTTGGGAGACTCTCAATGGTAACATCCAACGTGAAAATCGGGTCTGGAAAGGCTTCTCCTACATGGCTACCCCTATTCCACTGGTGTTTGTTCAAAGACGGATCCTCAAAGTGTTGTCCATCCATCAAGGTGCATCATTCAATCAAGCACATCAGGCAAAACTCATGTCCACAGTGTGTGTGTGTCTTAAAAAAGGTAACAAATCCATCGGCAGTATTCGTACCCAGCTGCCAACATGACTTCGAGACCAACACGAGATGTGTTCTCATGAGAAGGGCATCTTCACACGTCTTCATGTGTGCCATCCTTTATTCCAAAAGCGTACCATCATGATTCATGATCATTCAACTCCTGAGGCAAGTTCACCCACTCTTAACGGTCGAAACATCCACACCTGCAGAAACTTCTCAGTTTTCCCACCATCGAAACCGTCGTTTTCACAGCTGGTAGACCTTGACACACAAGGTCTGACGCCACAGGACCTCGCGCGGTTCGCCGGTTCGTTCTCGGCCTCTCGGCAGGAGGCGTGTTTGCCGCAAGAGACCCAAAATGTTGGACACGTGCCCTGGGTGCGCTTGGTGCCATGTACTGCGCATCCGCTGTGAAAATTCCGAGTTGAAACAAAGCGTCCGAAGTATGAGACAGCTGGGACTAGAATTGTATGCTCGCAAAACAGGAATCGTTGCAGCTCATAAATTTTAGAGGATTCCGCGCAACAAAGTACGAGATCGCAGCTTGAAGGTGATCCAGCTCAAAGAGATCCAGCGCTGCAGTGTTCATTGGAGACTTCAAACAATGCCTGCCTTTGGGCTTGCTCCCACACTCTTAACTGCTCCCACAGGAGACAAAAAACAAAAAATGATGCTGGACTTGGCAGCACAAGGCTTTCCAGATGGTTCAGAACCTGGCAGCCTATCAACTGATCCAACTTGTTCCTTTTCCTCACCCCAGCCATGTTTGGCGCACTATGGTGTATATGGCCCATGGTCCGCACGAAAGCCAAAGGAATGTTCTACATGGAGGCTCTGCCCCAATTGAGAAGTTCGCATTAATTCGAACCCCAACCGCAGGATTCAAACATTGAACGAAATCGAACCCTAATTGAATTGATTCGAACTACCAACTATTTTGATTTCTTCTTTAGTAAGGGTTTGTCGACCCTCCACCTAAGATTGAATTAGTTCGAGCAATCAACTGTTTGGTTTTCTTAGTCCTGTTTTGTCCACCCATAGTTCCATAATTTGACTTAATTTGCACTATGAACTCTGGGTTGGGGCAACGCAAGGTTCAACACTTAAATTGATTCGAACCCCAACACCAAGTTCAAAGATTGAATCAGTTCGAAGTCGAACGAAAGCGGCGGGTTTATGCATTGCGCATGCCTCCCCAACCCCCCGCCCGAAATCTGGACGCCAGTCACAAACCCTGTGCCAACACTAAAATCATTTAGCCCCCGGACACAATTAAACCACTTAGAACCCCAACCCAAGGTTCGAATTTTATCAAAATCCAACCCGAGGTTCGAAGATCGAAGTCATTCAAACTCCAACCCAAAGACCCGAGCAGAGGCCAACCCAAAGTTCAAACTTTGAGTTGCTTCGAACCCAAATCCAGAGCAATTTGCGAATTGATTCAAACTGTCGACCCGTTTGTTTTGCCGGGAGCGTTGCAAAGGGTTCTTCTGGACAAATTGTTTCGCACAAAACATCTGTATCAACACACTTATAGATGTGCATACGGAACTGAATGCCACATGCCACACGCCAGCCGAAGAAACCCAAATCCTGAAAGGTAGCAATTTTTTGCACGGGTGGAGCCGCCGTTGATGCAGGAAATGCATAGGTCAGCTTGTGCTGTTATTGAAAGAGTCTCTTGCAAGAAGTGCCAAAACAAAGCAAAAACCACACAAACCCAAACCGACCCAAAAACAACAAACAACAAACAACCAGAGAAGCGAGCAAGAGACTCTTGAGTGTACATGCAAGGTGAAACCGGTGTAAGACATAAATCGGGCGTTGAGTTGGCGCAAAAAGCAAAGCCGAAGTTGTTGACACTGTTCCTGGCTTGGTGAATCTGTGTATACAGGCAATTAGCCTACTTAGACCGCAATACGCGCCTGTTTTCCTTGAGCCAAACATAGTAGGAAGTGAGACATGAATACAGTACACAAGCGTGAAGCCACACACCCCGCTGAGCGCAAATACGGAGGAGTGAAGTATGTACAATGTGCATGAATTCAACCGGCTACGAATGGCAACCGGTCCCCCGGTACGAGCAAACGACCGGGGCTCGCCTGTGAGATGAAGCCGATGAAGGAAGACCTCAGAGGCATTGGAGTCAGGCACAATGTACTTTAGTTTCAGTGATGTCCAGCTTCAATTGTCTCAACTCACATGCAAAAGCCAAAGCTCATCTTTTGGGCACTGTGCGGATAACCAAGGCATGTTCACCTTTGAGAAAGCACGAGTGGAACCTTTACATGGCTCACGCTCCCACGTGGCGAACAAACATGGTCAAGCAATAGATGAAAAGGAGTTTTATCAAATACCATCTTTAATTCACGCAACCTCATGCGCTGGTCAGCTGACATACGAGACGAACGGTCGCTTGAAGGCAACCGCTCCCGCGGTGCGATGAGGTCTCCTCGCAAGAGTTGGAGCTGTGCTGCCATTGGTATTTTCTTTTGGTTTTCGGTTTTGTCCAAGGCAACGGCTCCCGCCGTGCGAAGACTTCTCACCAGCCTCGTCGCTGATTCCAGTCATGGTCCCCCAGCCTCGTCGCTGATTCCAGTCATGGTCCCCCCAACCACCGCGGCTCCAGTCAGAATCACGCCATGAGCGATCATCCGACTGCCACCAGCCACTCGACCACCAGCTCTGAGATGAAGAAGACTGGTCTCGTGAGCTGCGTCCGCGGTTCTCCCAACGAGCATCATATTGATGAGCACTGTGTTGTGACTGCCGTTTAGCGAAGCTCTTGGCTGCCGACGATCCTGCCTTGGTCTGAGGAATAATCATAGACCTCTGTTCTTTTCCGATGGTCAAGCATTGCCCGGAATGCGTTCGAAGTCCTCCGCCATGAAGGCAAGCAAATCATCGAGGATATCCTGGGGATCTTCGAGATCTGACTTCCATTCGCCACCAAAGCCACAGATAGGTGGGCGCTTGTAGCTGTCCGCATACAAAGTTGCAAACACTTCTGGTCGGTGAAAGCGATTTCGCCAGTATACGAAGAACTCTTGGGAAAGGTCGGACTCACCAACGATGTTGGTGTCGGCAATGTAGACGATCTTTCCGGCGTACCGATGTCCTTCGCCTTTCATAATCATTTCACGCGTTCTGGGCGGGTCAGGTACCACGGCATTGGCAAGCTTATCAATGAACCCAAGGCATAATGGTGTCAAATCTTGTGCTGCGCAGTTGAATGCATAAAATGGGTCAATGAGTTGCCGCTGCATCATGGTGACTGACATACGCTCTGCCTTTTTGACGTGACTCTTGCTTGAAGCACGAGCAGTCTCGTGGCCAGGCGTCCCCGCCGGCGTAAGCCTTTCTCCAGATCCTCTGAGCTCGTCATCGGGCACCATGTCAAGCGAGACATCGATTCCAAGATTCGTTGCAATCTCTTCAATCCGTATCACCTGTGCCGCTTTGCCGAGGTCTGACGACAGATGGAGGTAGGCTCCGCAATTGATACATGCCAACATGCCAAAGGTGTACAGGTGCTTGCATTCTTTGCACTGGCGTTCTGGCATGAGTCGTTGTTCGACAACAGCCCATAGGGTCTTTCCCACACCTTCGTTGTGCGGGTCAAAGGATCGAGTGTTGAAGCGACGGTAGTCCTCATAGTCCTCCATGATCATGGGGCTCATTTGGTTCCAAGGGGCGTTGCCAAAAGGTTTTCTGGCAATGTACGATTGGATGAGCACATCAAGATCAGGGTTGTTGGGACCAGTGCGCATCTGATCCTTGACATTCGTCAACGGGATCGGGTCATCATAGTAGTATGGTCTATCGGTCCTGATGAAACCACACCACCTGCGGTAGTCCGACAGGATATTGGTCACCAACGTGAAGAAGTTGGAGTTCTGTAGTCCGTCATCTCCGGCAAGCGGTCCCCCGCTGCGATCCTTTCGAAATTTCGAAACTTGATCATTCTAGCGGGATCTCTCGTCTGCATAGATGTGATTGGCGTAGACAAAAGAACCGGATGACATGTCAAAGCCATAGACAACGAACTGATTTGGAATCCAGTCGGCACACAGAATTGCCCCGGCTGCTGTCTCAACTACACGCAGTCCTTCTGCAATCATCAACCTGAAATCCAATGCGAAGCAGAGCGGTCGTGTTGCGGCCATGGATGCAAATTGGGTGTCGGAGATTGACCATGGGTCCTCCTTTGACAAAAAGCTGAACTTGTTTGCAGCTTTCAGCCCACCCGGCAAAATTCCCATGTTGATGATGTCCATCAAAACCGCATTATGCGTATAGTGGTATACAATCGCAGGCTCCACTTCTATGACTTTCACAAGATAGTCGACTGGGACCTGTGGGAACTTGCCATCAACGAAGCACTTCTGATTGAACTGCGGATCCAGCGTAATCAATCGGGTGATCTCAGGCATTGCGTTTTCCACATTCCTTGTCGCCCAATGGTTGTGATTGGCGATCGCCTTCAGCTTGATGGGCGTGAACCCATACTTTCCAGCGACCAGAGTCCCCTCCGGCGGAATCTTG